TATAGAGACATGGCTTCTCAGAGCTACTTGATGATTTTTTTGTACTCTACCATTTACATTATGTTAAAACATAACTTAATTTTTATCCATAATACACCTTACATGTAATTCCCTTGAGAAAGTACATATGCCCATGTATGAATCTTCCATATACCTCAACACTTTAAAAATTACAATAGAAAACTTTCTAAACTAAATCATACAGTTCTTTGCCTCCCTGAACAAGTTAAATTATTCTCTAGGATCCAGAATCATTAATAAGATCATCAACTACCATAATGAACATGTTACAAATACTGATTCAGCTCTAGGAATACTAATTCACAAACTTATACGATCTCAAAACTAAGTTTTTAAATTCTTGCTTCTAACACTTGAAACCTGACCCCTCTTCACTATCAAGATGCTAGCCATCACTTCTTGCTCCTATTCATGTATGTTTCTCCAGTAACACTTCCATTGTCCCTTTTTTTGCCATTCCTCACCTATTATAGTCTAAAACACCAAGTATCATAAGTTGTCAGAACTAGAAAAAGTTTCCAAGTAAGAGCAAAGGTCACATAAAAAAAGTAAGATATGCAAATTTCTGTAAGCAGTTTTGCTTGAAAAAGACCCAAAGATGGGAATTTTTCACTTTAAAAGTTTGATAAAAGCCAGTAATATCTTAACAATTGATTTCTACCTAGTTCTTAGATTTATTTTCATAAAGCCAATCAGCCCAAAGAACACATTTAATGGACAATAAATTTACTAGTAATTAGGAAAACACCCTTACGAGAGAATAACTTACAGTTACCAAAAAGACTAAAAATAAAAATGTTTATTATATTACTGGGCTCCATCCTGGACAGAAAAATAGCTTTTCAACATTCCTCTATTAAAAAAGAAAAAAAAAAGTCTCAAAGAAAAATTTTGGTTTCAAATATTGTAGAACACTTTCTTGCCAACCTATTTTCCCACTTCTAACTTCATACTTGCACTATTTTCATATCACCATGTCCTAAGGCAGATTAAAAATAGAAATGCAGTCCTATATCTTCTAACAACTTATCCCTATTAATATTTTATCAGCACTAGGAAACAAGTAAAATAACACCTTAATGAAAAGTAACAGATATCACAAATTTTTCCAGTGTTCTTTAAAAAAGGATATTTTGTGGAACCTGCAGGAAGTGTATTCTAGTCATGAGTGAAAAAAAAAAAAAAGAATAGTAAAAAGATGTAAACTCACCCCAATTTAGATTTAATGCAATTCTGAACAGCATATGAAATAGTAGTACTGCTATATGAATAAGGCCCAGACAGTGCTTGTTAGCCTCCTTTCAGATTTTATATTACGTATTCCTGTCAAAAGCTGATAAAAACTATAACTCTTTCCCCAGAAAACTGCATATGTACAAGTTGTATACATCAAGGAATCCATGGAAGGATCTACCAAGGAATCCTCTTAAAGCCTATCTATAGGAACTCCTGAGGCCAATGGACCCCAAGTTAAAGATCCCTACTAAATGAAGCAGAACAACTGCTCAGATCTAGTAACTTCTGACCAAAATTAGCAACTCAAAGCAGTAAGAAAAGAGATCACCAACATAAATTCTAAGAAAATTAGGTACTTGGAAAAACTGGAAACTAGCAACCCATTTTCATACAATACGGCAAAATAAACTCCATACATATTAAAACACTATTTTTTAAGATCTTTACAATATGTAGAAAAAATAAACAAAATAGGTGAACATTTAGTTCCTCCCACAACAGGTCATATTTTCTAGGCAAAGAAGTCCTAAAAGAAATCACAAATAAGAAAAAGCACTGCATTTAGACTACATAAAAATAGCAAACTTCTGAATATATAAAACCATAAGCAATTTTAATAGTAATAAACTTAAAATTTAAAAACCTGCCAAAAAATATGAAGCGCAAAGGGCTATATCCATAAATAGCTGTTACCAATAGGAAAAACATTAACATCCACCACAGAAAAATACATAAAAAAGCCTCAAACAGCTAATTCACAAAAATGAGAAAACTGCATTTATAAACATTAAAAAGCTGAACTTCACTAGTTATCAGAAAGAAAAAAAAATTAATGAGCTACTATTTTTCAGCCATCAAATTGATGGTGGTACGGGAAATGCTTTTCAAAACAACAAAGCTTTATTAATTGTGTGTATTAGTTTAAACACCCTTTGAAGCAGTAATTTTGAAGAAATACTATAAGATGCTGTTCATGACTCATGAGCAAGGATGTTCACTGCAGCATTATTTATACCAGAGAAAAAGTCAACAAACAAATGGCCAATAAAAGAAATGTTTAGTAAGTCACAGTACATTGTTATTAGAAATAACAATATTCTGTAACCGCTTAAAAACATTTGCAGAGTATTTGATGATTTGGGATATTTTCACGACATAATATTATGCAGCCATTAAACATTTTTAAAAGACTATTATATATTAAAAAAAAAAAAGTAAAGTATTTTTAAAAGAATAAGGAAATGGGAAAACATCCACAATGTAATACTGAATTAAAAGAACAGGAATGAAATTATGGTCCAAACGAAAAACTATCAATATTTATTGAACAATCCTATTTATTGACTGACTGATCAACCGTGGAAAAATAACAAAATTATCACCAAAACATTTAGTGTTTATTTCTAAATGTTGCTAATTTTCAATACTTTCCAAATGTGTTATAAGTAAAAAAAAAAAAGTATTTAAATATATATATCGTATATTCAAATCACAATTTAAAGAAAAAAGAATTTTAATGGTTTACAGCTTAATCAAACCTTTTTGTCTAAACTACATTTTATGATATTTAAAATCTACAAAACTAAAAAGGTTTTAAATGACCCCAGTAACTTAGTATTCATTCCTTAAGTAATCTAGTCCTAATATTATTTATGTTACATATATAACAAAATTTTGTGGTATTTTAACTATGAAACAAAAATTTCAAAACATGCTGGTTATTGAAAGAACAGCAAACAAATAGTGGACATTCAGACAATTCATTGGTCTTAGTTTTAAGTTTACAGAAATATACTTGCCTTTCTAATAAACAGCAAAATTATCTTACTAAGAAATATTTACATTTTACATTATGTTCCTCAGTGTTTTCAAGTACCTCTTATAATCTTCAGCATTAACCTAAGAGGCAACCATCTGTATATTCAAATGAAAACATAAGTTTAAATATACAAACCAAAATATTTCACTTTTCTGGAAGTGCAAAGCGTATCAAGTCCTAAGATCAAAGTTCTTTTCTTAACTTAAATATGTATGTGTACATAAATACACAAACAAACACACAAATATAGAAAATACAACACATTTTCAACTCTAAACTTCTGAAAGAATCTCACAGGAAGTGGGGGAAGGGTGTGCTGGGTAATCCACCTCATAAGTATAAAAAGGGAAAAGATTACACAACTGCCCTCTAAATATAATTTCTGTGTAGAAGAGTCCAGAGGTCCAGGAATTATATGAATGGCTAATTTTCTGTTGAGAAAAAAGAATTATCTTTCCTATCACTCCATTCTATCTCGTATGTGATGTCATTTTTTAAAAATCCACCAACCAAAACTATTCCTTTCAATTACATCTACTTAATACTAACAGTACTTGCTTTGGGCAAGAAAAACATCCCTAACCAACCATTATAAAGCACTAGTCACTTCTTCATTTGACAGATAACTGATTTAAACTTAGTGTTAATATAACCAACCCAGAAACCAATTATTGTACACACAAACCACAGGTGACATTTATGAAAACCAGTTACAAGTTTTGAGTCCACTAAGAAATAATCTGCGCAGTAACAGAATTATATCAAATTGTATAACACTTATCCCAGGGGTGTTATATAAGATTTAAATATAGTGACACAACCACTGTAAACTAAAATAATCAGTAGCATACTTACAACTACCTTCTTTAAGAAATGAAAACTAAGAACACCAAGAATTCAAACACGATTATATCTCATACACATGTATATGGTGCAATTTTTTTAAAGAATCAAATGATTTTTTTTTCATTGATGGTTAACTTTATTCCTAAGGGCCTCAGTGTAGTTAATTCTCTTAAGAATTCTTTGTAAAAAAATTTGCCAAGTTTTATTTCACATATAATAAAATGCTAAAAAAAAAAAAAAAAAAGACTTTAATTTTAAAAGTCGGAGTAATAAAAATGACCAAACTGAAGCAGTTATGGACAAGAGATCAGAGACTGAAAAAAACCTAAAACTCAGATGCAAGTAAGATCAGAAGCACACAAACTGATAATTAGGACTTCATTAACTTAGACTGAGATTTGATTTTTCCAGTGCTCTTTCCCCCTCATATTTCCAAAACTCAAAACTGCTTCTATTTTGTAAACATTCCCTGATAACAGAACTGGTAAAATTAGGTTTAAAAATGTATTTGCAGATATGCAGTTCAATTAAATGTACTTCCCCTGGGACCACCACTAGGTGCTGATCTTTATCTCCCTAAATATACACTTGAACCCAGCAATACCCCAAAAGTGAAATTATAATCGAGAACCACAAGTGACAATCATTTTTACAGAAAATTAAGTTCACAGCTTCTCAGAGAATCGGAAAAATATAAAAAAGAGTTTGAGCCCGATATAAGAGTAAAACACAAGAGAAACGTTTTCCTTAAAAAATGTGGAAATTTGGGGATAACAAAATGAAACTCCTCAAGAATGAGGGAAATTAAATCTAGAACCCAAATGGCGTCCAACAAGAACATTAGATCTTGAAAATGAATATTGCGCTTGCGCAGCCACCGCCCCGCCAGCTGCACAACTGCAGCTAGAGCCCGACCCCGCAAGATCACGTGCTCCCATGCAGCGCCCGCCCGCAGCTCCGCAACCGCGCAGGCGCACACACAACACCCGCAGCCGCCATAATGCGGTCTTGACTCTTCATAAATACAATAGTAATTTAAGAAAATGTGGTTATAACAGCCCCTAGGAGTCATATATACCTTTCGGGGCGGGAGATGAGGGAGGGGGAACCAAGTTCCTTCCTACAGAGCCGTTCCGCGCAACCGTCCTCAACGCGGCCGCTTCAGTATCGCGCGCTTCAGTCGCCGCGCCGCCGCTGCCGCCGCCGCCTCCGCAGATTCAAAAACAAACCCGCTTCTCCCTTGCACGCGCCGGGGCCGTTATGCAAATTAATGTAGGCGGGGCTACATGGGCGTAATATTGGCCACGCCCGTGGTACTAACAGCCAATAGGCTCACGGATCAGCCTTTCCCCATGCAAATCTCCTGGTTTTTTATTTGAATGAGGGAAATTGGCCACGCCTCCTGCCTTGGAAAGGAGAAGGAAGTCTGAGGTGGTGGCGCTGCGCCTTTCAGTTGCAGTGTGAGGTGTGTTTTGAGTGGAGCTTCGCTCAACCAGTGAGTAGCACTTTGTTAGCGCCCTCTATGAGCCTTAGGAAAGAAGGAAGGAAATAGGTACGTACGTGAGAGTTAAAGAGCAGAGAGAAAGATTTTCGGAAAAGGCTGAAGTATATTTGTTCATTATTTATATTAAAAATTCACAAAGTATACTTTAAACTGTAAGTAATGAGAGAATGGCGAAGACACGTATTTTCTTTCAGTTTTGTGCCAGAGTTAGCACTTCCAATCATACCCTTCTACCGGAAGTTGTATCCCTTATATGCAATTTTATATTGGGAGCCAACCTTTAATGAAGGCCGTGAGATGCAGTAGAGAAGATGCAACTCAGTTTGTTGGGAGATCTGGGCTCACATCCAAGTACTCCTGTCTTCTTGCCTGTTTCTTGGAACACGTGTGTTAACACAGTTTTCTCATCTCTGAAATGGTGATAGTGCCTGTGCTTCAAATCGGTTAAGAGAGGTCAATGACAGGATAAATGTAAAGTTCTTTTGCAAAGCAAGAAAAGCCTGACAAATAGTTTGTAAGGTTTGGTTATCTTGTTTTTTAATGTAATTTTCCCCTTAATCTATTCATTCCGTTTTTATTTAGCAATCAGTGTTCTAGAACTATATTAGGTGCCTATCCTCAAGAAATCTATACTAGAGGAAACAAAAGTAAACAGGACATTGTAAGCAATAAGAAATTAGTGGAGGACGCTTGATACTTATTTTTATAATTCTGGTCTTTCAACTTAGTTGAAATCCTGGGTGGCTTTAGGAGAATCGCCTAATCCAGAGTTGGAGAATCAGTAATGCCTTCCTAGAAAAGGTGAACTCTAAAATGAGACCCGATTTAAAAAATTATTTGCCTAAAAGTGAACTTTGTTGTAGAATAATGAGGGATCACTTGAAAGGTAAATAAGTCAGGAAATAACACAGATTTGCATTGTTTTATTGCTAAGCTTTGTAAAGTACTTTACACAGAACATAGTACGTGATTGTTCAAAAAAATTATAAATACAGTCTCAATTATAACTGTATTATAATTTATTTAGTACATAGGTGCTCAGTTATAAAATACTCAACAATTTGTAAATATTAATATCAATATCAAAAGCTTCATTCTATAATAAGACAAATGGGATTGGAATAATAGAGCACATCAGATTTCACTTTGTATGTTTTCTATAAATAAAAAAGAATCATGTTTATAATAGTTCATTCTCAATGGCAAAGGGAAAAATAATCCAGCATTAACTCACCACCTGGTCATTTTTCATAGATATGCTCATCTTCTAGACGTGCCTCCCTAAGATTCTAACTAGACAGTTTTATTGTATTTGAATCTCCCACAATATACTCAACTACACATTTATAGTTACTTCAGCCATTCTAACTGCTGGTTAATCTAAATAATCATAGCTTCATTCAACAATTACAGTATTTATTATGTACTCACATACTATTCTAGGCACTAAAGATGCCCAGAGGAAATGACACTCCCTCTAATGGAGATTAAAAAAACATATATACAGATAAATATTATTAAATCATTACTATCAGGGCGCCTGGCTGGCTCAGGTGGTTAAGCATCTGTCTTCAGCTCAGGTCATGATCCCAGGGTCCTGGGATTGAGCCCCACATTGGGCCCCCTGCTCAGCAGAGACTCTGCTTCTTCCCCTCTTTCCCTTCCTCTGCCTCTCCCCTTCCCCCACCCCCAAACCCCCCGCCAAACTCATGAGCTCTCTCTTTCACTCTGCTCTCTTTCTCAAATAAATAAAATCTTTTTAAAAAGCATTACTATCATGAAGATATACACTAAATATAAAAGAAATACAGAATAAGAGGACCTAAATCTTGCTCATAGAATATAGGAAAATTTCTTACCTGTTCCTTGTAATAAGTGTGATGCTTGACCTGACTCATAATGAAGAGCTTCAAGTGGCTGTCAGAATAATATAAAAATAGTTCAAGTTAGGTAAAACAGAAATTCAAAATATTTCTCATTCCCTATGGCACTAGGCATTGGTCAATCAGAAACAGACTTGAAGACCGTCTACTTCGTCAGATATTAATCCCTTAGTTGTAGGATTGTGAAGAGGTCCAGTGCTTCTTCAGCTGGGGACCTAGGCAGACTGGATGGTAGGAGAAGTATTCACAGGTGGGGCATCTACTAACCAATCAGTACTGAAGGATTTCAATATTTTATCCACCTTTTTGGCCTTATTTATACAAACAGACTGAATATTCTAGGGGGGAAAATGCTGTAGTAAAGCAAAATCACAGAACTTCTCACAAAAAAAAATAAAAAACCAAAAACCTAAAATAATATACATAAATGAATTTCAGTTGTAGCTATTGAGCAGCAATTGAACAAATAGCATAAACTTGAAAAAGGAACAGCTAATGAGGAAAACTGAAGTTTCTAATACTATAAAATGAGACCACCTAATGTAGTGATTGCAAAAATGGGCTTTGAAAGTTTACTACCTGAATTAGAATCCTGTTGCTGCTACTTTACTGCTGCACATTCTAAACTGCTCTATACAAATGGTTCCTGAAATATGAAATGGGGATGATAAAAAATAGCCCCTGTCTGCTGAGGTTTTTATGAAGATTAAATTCTGGTAAAACATTTCAAATAATACTGAATATATAGTAATATCTCAATAAGTGGTCAGCTAATAGTAATCATCCTAGTGGTGGTAGTAGTAGAAGTAATAAAATAATAGTACTTGTCAGAATGGTAAAAGTGCAGACATAGCTCAGCTTGAGCAGTTTCTATCTGTACATCCTGTACACTATCTGTACATCTATACTGTATATCTGTATACTACCATTAAGAAGAAATACGAATTAATCTGATAATTTTTATTATTGTCCTCCAATTTTCAGAGAAGTTTACTGAAGTGTTAAGTAGACAAGCCTGGGAAAACTCGAGAAGCAATTCTGGGAATAGGAAATGTGGAACACAGGATTCCAGGATGATCTCTATTTCTTTATGTTCATACCATGTATAATCCTCTCCCCTTAAGTATGGGCAGAATCCATGACTTGCTTCTAGGCAATAGAGTATGGCAAAGGTGAATAAATTTTGCAGTTGTAATTAATGTTTCAAATAAATTGATTTCAAGTTAACCAACTAAAAGGGATATTACCTTGAAGAGATCTGCCTTAATCTGGAAAAAGCCCTTTTTTTGTTGTTTTTTGTTTTTATTTATTTTATTTGTATTTTTTTTTATTTTATTCTTTTTATTTTTACTTGATACAGAGCATAAGCAGAGGGAGAAGCAGGCTGTCCACTGAACAAGGAACCCTATGTGGGACTCAATCCCAGGACCCTGGGATCATGACCTGACCCAAAAGCAAACACTTAACCAACTGAGACACCCAGGCATCCCTGAAAAAATCCCTTTGAAAGGAGCTGGACCTTCCCTGAGAAGAGACTTTCTCCTTGCTGGCTTGACACAGTAAGCAACTATGTTGAAGAAACCAACATGGAAATTTACTAAACTGACCTACAGAATCTGTGGGTAGCCTGAGAGTAGCCTTCAGCCAACAGGCAGGAAAAAGCCAGGACCCTCAATCATATAGCCATAAGGAAATAAATTCTATAAATAAACCAAATGAGCTTGGAAGTAGGTTCTTTACTAGCTAAACATTCGAATGAAAATACAGCGCAGATAGTACCTTGATTCTATCCTTGGGATTCTGTGAGCAGAATATCCATCTAAATCATACCAAAAATCCTGACCCACAGAAACCAAGATAATAGATGCATATTTCTTTGTTACTAAATTTGTCGTAATTTGTTACATGGCAATAGAAAACTAATAGAGGAAGTCACCAGAGAAGGGAAGAGGTATCTAAACCATTTTCCAAGGTACATAGGTGATCTAAATGAATGAAATGGGTTCTATTAGAAGATATTTAACTGGCACTCAATAAAAAGGATAGAACCAGTACTATAATTATATCTCAGCAAAACAGGCCTCTTTTCTGGTCCCCATATTATAATGTGCCATATATATCATAAACATACACACAGATTTATAAGAACACACAGATGCCTTTGTCACTCAGAATGTGACACTCAGCAGTACCATAATGGCTACTGTGATCTTAAAACATCTGCTCTGCTAATATTACCAAAGTCCTCCGGGGAATGCTTCTCCATATTTTTTGCTCTGTGTCCTCAAAATAAAAGCCAATTTTCAGAATACTGTGGAGGTCAGTGGATTGAGACACTCACACAACTTCAGAGTATGCAAGATACATTTTAAAAATTAACTTTTCATATCCTTCCTTTCTGTTAGTACAGAGTCAATAGATTTTTTTCCTTAACAGTCATTTGCCAGTAGTGTCAAGCCTCCATTTTCTTGCTTTTCTCAGGTTCCAGTTTGTGGTTCTGTAGATACTCAGAACTTATTACAGTATTCTCAAAATTTGTACTTAGTTTCTGGAAAACTTTTTGAAATATCAAATAATGCATATTAATCATATATTTGTATACCATACATGTAGATATTGATGTAATATAAATGAAACATATTAAACTTTTAAATTAGCAACTAAATTACACTGAGTTCTAGAACTATAAAGATTTTATTTTAATAAAAATATTTTGATCCTGAACAACCAGT